TATTGTCAGCAGGAAGATCTTCGTGTGGACCGTGGGGACTATTCTGGCGGCTGGCCTATTGGCTGGATTCATCACCCTGATCGTAAAGACGGTGCCGCGCCACCACCACCGTCCGCCGCCACCGGATAACTACACGCAGGCCCTGAACAAGGCGCTCATGTTCTTCAATGCTCAGCGCTGTGAGTAAAAAAAGAAAGAAGCTGTGCTTTACTGAAAATTTTACTCCTTTGTTTTTGCTTGATTTTTAGTTGTTGGCTTACTGGATCTAACGAATCTGGGTGTCTGGCATTTTGATTTTCAATTTCATATTTTTGTTGACAATACGCCGGATTTCCTTTCTCATGCACACTGTGTGTTCGGTGGTGATGGGTAGATCCGATTCCGAGAATGAGTCGATTATTGAGAATTAGAGTGTATATGAAAGTGTTAAGTAGCGAATTATAATGCTATGTTTTATTTTTTATCTTTTGCAACTGGGAGTTTGTCGATCATCATGTGCAATTTCTGAAGGTGCTTATACTATTTTTATCATCATCTGGATCACGATGATGACCTCACCTTTTACAAACAACCAGTTGACCTTCGATCAAAAGGATGACACAATTAGGCTTGCATTCTGCATTACAAAAATGTTGATGCTAACTTGAAATTTATCTAACTGGCTGGCTTTTTGTGGCTAATCCATTAACTTGTTGTATCTCATACATGAAGATCTGTATTAAGTCTAATGGCCAATTCTTTGAATTCACAGCTGGAAGACTCCCAAAGCACAATAATGTCTCATGGAGAGGAAACTCGTGTTTAAATGATGGGAAGTCCGATTCTTCAACTCTATTTAAAGATCTTACTGGTGGCTATTATGATGCTGGGGATGCAATCAAGTTCAATTTCCCGCAGTCTTTTGCAATGACCATGTTGAGTTGGAGTGTGATTGAGTACAGCGCAAAATATGAAGCAGCTGGGGAGCTTAACCATGTGAAAGAGGTTATCAAGTGGGGAACAGATTACTTCCTCAAGACTTTTAACCATACTGCTGATACAATAGATCGAGTTGTGGCACAAGTAAGCAATTTATTTTATAAAAGTAAGCCGGCAACTTTATAGGATGCATTCAGATTTATTATATACTTATAATGTTCTACCATGCTCCGCATCTGCGTTGTTACAAATATCCTTTGGCTTGGTCAATCATATTTCATATTTCCTCTGAATAATTAAGATTCTATATTTTTTATATTGGCAGGTTGGTAAGGGGGACACCTCAGGTGGGCCGGAGCCCAATGATCACTACTGTTGGATGCGTCCGGAGGACATTGATTATGATAGGCCCGTTACCGAATGCCACAGTTGCTCGGACCTTGCTGCCGAGATGGCTGCTGCTTTGGCTTCGGCATCTATTGTCTTCAAGGACAACAAAGCCTATTCACAGAAGCTTGTCCATGGTGCCAGGACCCTCTTTAAGTTCTCAAGGGACCAGCGTGGTAGGTATAGTGTGGGGAATGAGGCGTCCATGTTTTATAATTCGACAGGTTATTGGGACGAGTTTATTTGGGGTGCGACTTGGTTGTATTATGCTACGGGTAATTCGTCCTATCTTCAGCTTGCTACGACTCCAGGCCTTGCTAAACATGCTGGTGCTTTCGCCGGGGGACCATTCTATGGGGTACTGAGTTGGGACAATAAGCTTGCTGGTACCCAAGTGAGTGAGAACGTGTTTTGGTTTGTTGGTTTTGTTTTGTTTATGTTTGATACTGGCTACAGGTTTCTGTTTTTTCCTGCTTGCCTATCAGATTGAATTTTGTGTTCCCTAAGTGTTATTTTTTTCGGTTTTAGCCTGAAAAATAATCACAACATTTGCCTAACAGTAAGCCTTTTGGTCTTCATCTTGAAATTATAGTACTTCCCTCCCATGGGGTAGTTGCATCAGTTATTACCCATGGACTGGTCCATAACAACTATTATTGAGATCAATTAAACATTTTGTATTATTTACTTTTATATAAAGCAGCTCTTACGGTGCTATCTAGACTTGAAAACTTTACAGGCATAGTTGAACTGCAAAAGAGCGTAACCTACTAACATGTGAGATGATCTTCTTATCCTCTTATGTGCAGGTGCTTCTTAGTCGTTTAAGGTTATTTCTCAGTCCCGGGTATCCTTATGAAGAAATCTTGAGGACGTTCCACAATCAGACCAGCATATTTATGTGCTCGTTTCTACCTTATTACACATCGTTCAACAGAACACGAGGTAGTCCCTTCTACTATCCAGGATAAAATAGAAAGCTGCAGACTTTTAGGTCCATTTTATTTTTCCTTTAAAACAAATGATCATTATGGAGAACCGGAACAGGTGGCATGATCCAGTTGAACCATGGGGCCCCTCAGCCGCTTCAGTATGTTGTAAACGCTGCATTCCTTGCCACGG